AGATCTTTCATTTGAGTACCCACATCATATTTTATATATATCATATATATGTATATATGAAAAATATATCAAAAATGCATGTGGGTATTCAAATGAAAGCTCTTGATGAGTGTAACATCGGGATGGACTTTTATCTTCAAAAATGTCAATAGTTAAGAACTGACATTGCTATCTTATGAACTAATGACATTTTTAAAGATATAAGCTCATCCCGATGTTACATTCATTTAGACCATTCATTTGAGTACCCACATCAACTTTTCATATATTTTATATATTTATGTATATCACATATATGTATATATGATAAATATATCAAAAATGCATGTGGGTATTCAAATGAAAGCTCTTGATAAAGTTAACATCAAGATGAGCTTATATCTTTAAAAATATCAATAATTAAGAAATGACATTGTACCTTGTCAACTACTGACATTTTTAAAGATATAAGCTCACTCTAAGGTTACACTCATCGAGACCTTTAATTTGAGTACCCACATCAACTTTTTATATATTTGATATATTTATATGTAGCACATATATGTATATATGATAAATATATCAAAAATGCATGTGGGTACTCAAATGAAAGCTCTTGATAAGGTTAACATCAGGATGACCTTATATCTTTAAAATTCTTATTATATACATTAAAAATGTATCAAAATGCTTTTTTAAAAAATAAATAATTTACCAGTATGCGTGCGCTCATGTCTGATCAGCGCGGACCGAGTAGGGAACCATTTTTCGCAAGCTTGGCAGGTGAATCCTCTCTGAGTAGAGTGAACAGATTGATGGCTCTTGAGCATTATTCTTCTAGTGAATGCTTTGGGGCACTTGTCGCACTTGAAGACCTTTAACTCTTCATTGGCGTCGACCATAGATTCTTCAACAGGCTGCAGCTTCATTGACTCAGTCTGTCCAGCACTGTGACTGGTCACCTCCATCATGTAGACATTCTTCCTGTCAGCATTGGCGATGGCTCGTTGGACCTCATCAGCTTCATCATCAGACTCGTGCTCCTGCTTGATGCGGGTCGCACGGATGGTGCACCGGGCCTTAGCGGCTTTCTCCTCCGACGGCACCAGGGTAATGTTTGACGGCCCCTCGGAGATACTCTCCTCGGCCTCCATATTTTCAGCGCCCATTCCCAGGATGTAACCTCCCACTAACTCCTCTTCTGTTACTTCTATCGGGTCACCGTCGATCTGAGTCGCGTCTCCCTTGGTTGATACCAAATCCGCGAGAAGTTGCTTAACTTGCCGCGACTTTCCTGAGCCTGTGTCTCCTTCTGAATCTTCTACTCCTTCCTGGGCCTCTAATTCATCCTCCGAGCCTGTTAATTTCTGGATCAATTTCAAATGCTTGCGCAATTTTGTGTCAGCTGCTTCGCATTTTTTTTTGAACTGGTAGGACTTTTCCAGTTGGTACTTGCACGGGTGGCAAATCATGTTTGGCAAGCCGTCTTCTTCATAAACCTGAAAAAAGAAATTTTTTTAATATATGTAATTAAGAAATTACCTTGTTTCTTCAGAACTATTGACATTTTTAAGGATATAAGCTCATCCCGATGTTACACTCATCGAGACCTTTCATTTGAGTACCCACATCAATTTTATATATATTATATATGTATGTATATATGAAAAATATATCAAAAATACATGTGGGTACTCAAATGAAAGCTCTCGATGAGTGTAACATCGGAATGAGCTTATATCTTTAAAAATGTCAATAATT